CCTACATGGATGTTATTTATTTGATAATTTTGGCTGTAAAAGGGCCAGAAATCATACTGTAAGTGAGTTCGTTTGCTTTTTTCAGAATGACCTCAGCTTTCATTAACTTTATTGTATTTTTATGTCAATGAAACAACAGCTTAAAGTGGAAAAAACAATAAAACTGACTTTTTTCAGATTTATAGTAAGTAGAAACTGATATTCAACAGGAACAAAATGTAACACAACATCAACTTAAATATGAACTATACATATGTACAATAAAGGTTTTGAGCCTACACTCAAAAAAATCTGTCGTTGGATCAACACAATTTAATCATAGTGCCTATTTCCACGTGATTTAACCAAGTACAATAACCCATTTTTGGCCATGTCAAACCAACACATGCGTCATTTGGTGGTTTATGTAATCAGATTACGTTGGATCAACGTAGTATATTTGCATTGACTTGAAGTGATTTATTTAAGTATGTAGAGTGAAATTTGTTTTAATTCATTCTACACAAATTACAAACTTTAGGAAAACACAATGAAATCTTGTTGTTTAAACTACTGTCAATCAAGGCAATTACTGCTAGTCTTGCTTAATGAACCAATATAGGGGCTGATGATTTCATAGAGACAAACAACCATTTGCACTTACATTCATGGGTAATTTAGAACCAACAATTAACCTAACTCTAATTACACACTGTAAACCAGCCAGATTGTGGCCATTTATATGGCCCACCCTGTAAATGCTACATGATTTAATTACATGATTTAATTACATGATTTAATTACGTTCACCATGGAAACATGAAATTATTTAGTTCACATTACAAGTTTGAATCTTGTACATGTAACAACCACCCAATTTCATCTTTTTTGAGCTAAGTGGGGTTGACTTTTCTTTTTTCAGAGCAGTAGCTTGCGAACGGTTTGTGCTACCATAATACACCAAATAGTCCCGTAAAGCTCAGCCTCTCTTCTTTCAGTAACTGTGTGAATTTTTTCTCTAGCTAAAATGGTCGATGAATTACGGTAGTGCGAAGCACACATTAGTAAGGTAGATGATAAGAACAGTAAGGTGATAATTTAAAAAAATGAAATTATATTATAAACGCAGTTGTGATATTTATTTTGCCTTAGAAAAGGTATGTCAAACTCATTTTATGGCATGGACCACACACAGCCCACTGAACTTAAATGGTATGGACCAGTGAAACTCCCGTTTCTGTCAATGCATAGAATAAATAGAATTTGTTGAGAAATCTTATTATAAGAAAAAGAAGTGTAACTTCAAAATTAGGGCTCAGTTCTTCTAGGTGATCAAGAATTTTGTTATAGTAAATGAAAGAAATCGGGAAGAATGATGAAAGAAAATTTTTCACTGTTTTTTGTAATAGCAGTTTCAACATTTTTTCATATTTATTGATCTGCTGACATTACAATTTGCACATCACAATAGAAAAGCACAAAACCTTCACTTGTACAGCTTTTACACATAAACCATAGTTTTGTCATACAGCTTGTTTAGATCTAGGAATAAAATTTTACTCCTCTGTTCTAATGCAGACATCGCCACAGAAAGAGTAGTAGTTCACTTTATCGTACAATTGAAGTAGTTTTTCATATTTTGTAAAGCAGGTCCAGATTGGATCCTTTGGTATGTCTAGCAGTACCATTTTTTTAGCAGTGTTAGACAAAATCTTTCTGCTTTTGTATCGGCACTACCAAATATTTGTATTGTAATTATCACAGAAACAGTAAAACTTTTTGTTTGTTTGTTTTTTTCTTTCTTCCCCCCCTTCTCACCGTCTCTTCTCCCCTTTGGTTTTCTTTCTCTCCCTCTCTTTCTTTCATTCTTTCTCCCTGTCCTATCCCCCAGTCATGTCTGTCCCGTTTGTAGCAACTGAAAATAAAATAAATTCACAATTATAATAAAGGTCAATCAAATGGACCAATATGGCAAGGCCATGATGATCCACTTGGTAAAATAAATCAGCTTGGCATCTTTCTTGGCCTTAAGACAACAATTCTGATGGCCAAAGATCCAAACGGGACACAAAAAAAAAAAAAAAAAGAAACAGTAAAACTTTCAAAATTATGTAACAAAAAGCTTAAGATTACCCATACTGTGCTTTGGTCCACTGGATAAAGACAATTTTTCTTTTACCATTTATGTTGAAGGAAGAGTGTTGGCTTTTTCATTCAGTATGCTAAACAGCATCTGCAGTGAATCTTTTATTTTGAAACTTGAAAGGCTTCTCTATGTATCTGTACCTGACTTCCTGCTGCCTTTTCCTTCTCTGTGCAGGTTGATGTAAAAAATAGACATGGTGGTCTACCAAGGCAGAGTGGAGAACCACAAGAAATACACTACAGCACATCTGGTGCACAGCAGACTGTGATGCAAACCCAAAAGCGATTTGTGTCTCTAATTGGGTTTAAACCAGAAACCGTTCACTTGATAAGCAAAAGTGTTAACCACTACACTATGGAGCCACTACTAAACCTACTACAGCTATCACTATGATATGTGTCATCCTATTAAAATACTGCACTTAAATTCTGTGAGCTCTTTAGAATTATACTTTTTCCCCCAAATGTTTGTAAAGACACTGCACAAGTGTTTCATTTTTATAAAAACTTGAATTCAAAGATTAAGAGGTGGGCCCCAATACTTTTGTCAATGCAGTGGTGCCAGAAAGGATACTATTGGAAACTATTTGGTTTATCTTAGACATTTGATATGTTATATTTAAAAAGAAAAACATACATATTCAAGGTCATTAACAAGGACAGGTTGTGCTCACTCACAAAATGACCACACTCAGTTGAGGTCCAGTCTGTAACATATTATAATTCATCATAATGAAAATCCCAGTTTGAACCTTCAAGATCCTTGTACAATTTGAACCATTAGGTAAAAAGTAAATATGCAGTAAATGTCATAAATCATTCACAATGATTATTATTATTGTTGTTGTTGTTATGTATTCAAAGTAATTTAATTAAACTGGAAAAAGTATCAATAATGTAAAAACAATATCTATCTATTTATCAATCACATAAAATCAGTTCTATCAGACAAAGTCCATCTTACTTGATCCAGAAGGACACTTTAAGGCTTTCTGTTGCCTGCTGTTTTGTGATATTTTTCCAAGCAGCAGGAATATCAGCAGGTCTGGCATTATACGCACTAGCAAATTCTTTGTTGTACTTCGCCATCACATATTTCCAGTAGTCAGATGCTTCAAGACTCGCATCTGGAGGGACATTCCAGTCTGGGTACATTTCCTTGTAACACTTATAGGGATGATATTTACCATTTGTAATACTGTTGCAAAAACATGCATCACTGATCACAAGAGAGGAACATATTTCAGTGTCAAGTTTTTGTGTTCTAACAAACCTATATGAACCCAGACCTTGTGGTCGATGCAGTGAAGCAAAGTGCTCATAATGGGCTCCTCCTCCTGCCTCACAGGGCACGCCACAGAATGGACACTGTTTGCCGCAACCAATCACTCTGGTAAAAAGCTCATTGTGTGGTTTCATATTGAGCTGTTTTAGCTTTCTTTCAAAGTTTGACTTTTTAAATTCACTCCTAAGAATGTTTCCCATGTCATTCACAGACACTGTGAGCCAATCAGCAAACTGTTCCTTATCAGCATTGTTTAGGATCATGAAAGCATCAAAAGCATCCTGGGAAATGACCAGTTTATCAAGATCTTTGCGAATGCTTTCCACAAATGTCTTCAAGTCATGACTCTTTCCTGTTTTTGCCTTGTTGATGGCATCATTTATGCTTCTGATACATGACTGGAGATGTCGGTCCTCAAATTCAAATGCTGTTGACACATTTGAGTAGCGCTCCACTATTTGGTGGTAAATCCATGTTTTTACATAATCCTCATATGAAAAAATATAACTCAGATAGTTTTTTAAATCATTCTTTGAGAGTAAATCCAATAAAACTGAATACTGGAAGGACATTCGTGTGCTGAACTGCTCACATGTCAGCATGTCATCAATGATATTAGGACCCAGGGAGCGATTAACAAAGTCTTCCACAGCAGGCTTCAAGCATTTGTTGGTGAATTCTTCTGCCTTCTTCTGACACTGGTCTCTTTTATTAAAGATGTCTTTGAAATCCTCACGAAACTTTTCCTTGTTTTTCATCAGACATCTGTAGGGATCATTTGCTTGGATGAAATCTTCGTGCATTTTCTGAAACTCTCTGGCTGCAAATCCACAGATGTGCTGTTTCAGAGAAACTTCAAACTCGATGTCTGTCTTAACATCGTGATTGTACTGTAGACTCCCATCAATCATGTGTAGGATCTCCTGGATGTAGGTCTCATGGTAATTGTTTCTGCTTTCCATTTTCTCACTTACAAACTGAGTGCAAAAATTGATGATGCTGTCAGCCAATTGCTGTACAGCCATTGTGTGATCTTGAATGTTGAACATCTTGCTGAGTTTGTGTTTAAATTTGTTGTAGAATCCTTCAGCTGTATATTTGAAAGGCTCTTTTCCACAATCTTCCAGACATTGTTGACTTAATAATTCACATGCATGACTCCCCCTGTGTGACAGATTGATTCGCAGGAAGTGATATACGCTGGTGAAGACACTGAAGGTCTTTTGTTCACAAAAAGAAAGTTTCTCCAGTGTTTCATTCCACATCTTATCAAACTCTTTTTCCAGCTCTTTGTCTGTCATCTGGACTTTTTTCTTTTTGCATTCATCTATCAACACACAAACTGCATTTTCAATCTCTTGTGTATGGTTCTTTTTAATTTTTTCAATTTCTCTCATCCCCTCTCTGATTTCTGCTGCTGCTGTGAGCTGATTAAAAACAGATCTCTCCATTTCATGCCGAAGGCTCTTTACACTGTTTGAGAATTCCTCTTTGTATCCTTCAACCAGATAAACATGACCCTCTGTTTGCTGAAAATACTGTGTCAGATTTTCGAGAAGTTTTGTCTCCCATCTAGACAGCAGTGTGGAGGCTACACTTTTCAAACATATGAGAAATTCTCTCATGTCAGACGATTCAGATTTTACAGCAACTTTACCAAAATTGGAAATTCTTGTTTCTGTGTTTGTAACCCAGATGTACATCTCTTTTTTGAATTCCCACTCCCATTTGTTGAATTCTGTGCAGAGTCTCATGTATGCATCAGCTACGAGGCTGTTTCTGAAGCTGAAGATAAAGTTTTCATGCTTTACTGCAGTCCA